TATATTAAAAAAAAAAAAAAAAAAGTGAAAAAAAACAAAACAATATTTAAAATTTCTTCACTTTGCAAAAAATGTAAACTTCAAAAAAACGGAAACGGAAATGAAAAACTTTTTTTTTTTTTTTTTTTAACATACTGTCACCAGTGCAGTACAACATCATTATATAACTCGTGTGAAGGTGATCAGGGACACTGACTGGTGACAGAATGTAAAAAAAAAAAAAAAGTGAAAAAACAATATTTAAAATTTCTTCACTTTCCAAAAAATGTAAACTTCCAAAAACTTTTTTTTTTTTTTTTTTAAAAAGGGGAAAAAAAGGTAACAAAAAACCCACAAAAAACTTTTTCTTCATTTCCGTAATAAATATTTTGCAAATAAATAACCTAATGGAAATGAAGGAAAACTTTTTTTTTTTTTTTTACATACTGTAACCAGTGCAGTACAGCATCATTATATAAAACTTGTGTGAAGGTGATCAGTGACAGTATGTTTGAAAAAAAAAAAGCGACAAAAAACAAAACAATATTTAAAAAATGTCTTTAATTTTCCAAAAAATTATGAAAAAAAATAAAAAAAAACATCAAAACACTCACCATGCCTCTTATTAAATACCTCAGACTGTCTCCTTTTCAAAAAGTGGTCATTTGGGGGAGGGGGGTTGTACTTTCCTGACGTTTTCAGGCCTCAAGAAAGGGATGCAGGCGAAATACAAACACATTTTTCTTTTTTTTTTACGGTGTTTAAAATTGCAAACACAATGGCGGTTCTCCTCCAACAATCTACACAGTCCAGCAGAACCAATGTTTCGCCCTCCATTGTCTTACCTGTTTTTCTATCAGTCTAATGGTGTCCTCTGATACTACATCCCTGGACATTTTTACCTCCTGAACGGCCCGGGTGCGGATCTTCCGTAGAGAATCCTTTGATTTGTTTGTCAGTTGTTTCGCTAGCTTCACCAGATTCTCTCTGTGCTCCCGCGTTACCCTGACAAAAATCATACACCGGGTATAAGAGGAAGAGATACACAAATGTAACCACTTCCAGTCCGGACGCTTTCACCCCCCTTCCAGTCCGGACGCTTTCACCCCCTTCCAGTCCGGACGCTTTCACCCCCCTTCCAGTCCGGACGCTTTCACCCCCTTCCAGTCCGGACCCACCCTTCCAGTCCGACGCCACTTCCCCTCTTCTAGTCCGGACGCTTTCCCCCCCTTCCAGTCCGGACGCTTTCACCCCCCTTCCAGTCCGGACGCTTCCACCCCCTTCCAGTCCGGACGCTTTCACCCCCCTTCCAGTCCGGACGCTTTCACCCCCTTCCAGTCTGGACGCTTCCACCCCCTTCCAGTCCGGACGCTTTCACCCTTCCAGTCCGGACCTTTCAAACCCTTCCAGTCCGGACGCTTTCACCCCCTTCCAGTCCGGACGCTTTCACCCCCTTCCAGTCCGGACGCTTTCACCCCCTTCCAGTCCGGACGCTTTCACCCCCTTCCTGTCCGGACGCTTTCACCCCCTTCCTGTCCGGACGCTTTCACCCCCTTCCAGTCCGGACGCTTTCACCCCCCTTCCAGTCCGGACGCTTTCACCCCCTTCCAGTCCGGACGCTTTCACCCCCCTTCCAGTCCGGACGCTTTCACCCCCCTTCTTCCGGACGCTTTCACCCCCTTCCAGTCCGGACGCTTTCACCCCCCTTCCAGTCCGGACGCTTTCACCCCCTTCCAGTCCGGACGCTTTCACCCCCCTTCCAGTCCGGACGCTTTCACCCCCTTCCAGTCCGGACGCTTTCACCCCCCTTCCAGTCCGGACGCTTTCACCCCCCTTCCAGTCCGGACGCTTTCCCCCCCCTTTCCAGTCCGACGCTTTCCCCCCCTTCCAGTCCGGACGCTTTTCTTTCACCCCCTTCCAGTCCGGACACTTTCACCCCCTTCCTGTCCGGACGCTTTCACCCCCTTCCAGTCCGGACGCTTTCACCCCCTTCCAGTCCGGACGCTTTCACCCGCTTCCAGTCCGGACGCTTTCACCCCCTTCCAGTCCGGACGCTTTCACCCTCTTCCAGTCCAGGCCAATTTTCAGCTTTCAGAGCTATCACACTTTGAATGACAATTGCGCGGTCATGCAACACTGTAGCCTTAGCATTTAAATTTCCCACATTTTCATTTGGAGGAGCCTCACTCTTGGAAAATGATGAGGGAAAAAAAGAGGAATCCTAAATGACTCACTGCGGCACAGGAACGCGGATGACAGCGCCGTCCAGCTCTGGGTTAAGGTTCATCTGACTCTGCTTCAATGCATTCATCACTGCAGGGGCACTCTACAACCAAGAAAACGCATTCATAAACTTGCAGATACCTTAAGAGGAACTCCGCTTTTGTTGAAGAAAAAAAAAAAAAAAAAAAAACAACCCTCCCCTTTGGGTGATCTATGTACATTGCAAGGATTGTAACCAATTTTGTGGCAGATTCCTACCTTTTGTTATTCTGGAGAAATAGCTGTTTGGTTGTCTGTGTCCAAGAGCAAAATAAATGTGAATGGGAGTGACTTTATAATTATCAATCAGCAGGGGCTCTAATGAGGAAAGTGGCAGGGTCTGCATCCCTTTAGACAGGATTTTCCCTTTAGACAGGATTTTCCCTTTGGACACCCTTTGGATTTTCCCTTAGGGGGTATCTTACCAAAAAATGAGATTTTGTTGCAGGGGATGCCCAAAATCTGACTTGCATCTTAGTGCAGACCTCTGGGAAAATCAGTGAGCCAATTATACAAGCAGGAAATGACATTTCTAAGGGGGAAAGGGGGGGGGGCTATACCATAATGTATACAGAACACCTCCAGGTTGCCATATTACATTTTACAGAAAATCCCAGCGCTGCAGATTAAAAAAGGAAAAATAATTTTAATAATATTCAATTACAATATGACTTGTGCAGCAATTGTGTATGATATACATACATACACATACATACACATATACATACATGCATATATACATATACACACATATATAAATTGATTTTTTTTTTTTTTTTTTTTACATTTCCTATTTTTTTCCCAATGAAAGTGGAGTTACCGTTTCAAGTGTTATTATTCATTCAACCAATTAACTTTGATCCCAGATCACCCTGCACTGGACAATGAAAGGAGAAGCAGCACAGTGACGAGCACATCCCTCTGTCGCTCTGCTCTCTCCTCCTATTAGCATGCTTCTTATCAGCACATGAACCGATTGGGGGTCTTGTATTGCATCTCCCTCTCCTAGTCTGATCTTTGCTGTACAGGGACTGCAAGAGGATACCACCAGGTCACATTCAGGTACTTATGCTGCTTGTGTTTAAAGGGTTACTAAACCCAGGACCCTGCATTCACTGTATCCGCTCTCCACGGACCCCGCATTCACTGTATCCTCTCTCCACGGACCCCGCATTCACTGTATCCGCTCTCCACGGACCCCGCATTCACTGTATCTGCTCTCCCCGGACCCCGCATTCACTGTATCCGCTCTCCACGGACCCCGCATTCACTATATCCGCTCTCCACGGACCCCGCATTCACTATATCCGGTCTCCCCGGACCCCGCATTCACTATATCCGCTCTCCACGGACCCCGCGTACACTGTATCCGCTCTCCCCAGACCCCGCATTCACTGTATCCGCTCTCCCCGGACCCTGCATTCACTATATCCGCTCTCCCCGGACCCCTCATTCACTATATCCGCTCTCCCCGGACCCCGCATTCACTATATCCGCTCTACCCGGACCCTGCATTCACTATATCCGCTCTCCCCGGACCCCGCATTCACTATATCCGCTCTACCCGGACCCCGCATTCACTATATCCGCTCTCTCCAGGTCCCGCATTCACTATATCCGCTCTCCCCAGACCCCGCTTTCACTATATCTGGTCTCCCCGGACCCTGCATTCACTATATATGGTCTCCCCGGACCCCGCATTCACTATATCCGCTCTCCACGGACCCCGCATTCACTATATCTGGTCTCCACGGACCCCGCGTCACTGTATCCGCTCTCCACGGACCCCTCATTCACTATATCTGCTCTCCAGACCCTGCATTCACTATATCTGGTCTCCCCGGACCCCGCTCTCATTATATCCGGTCTCCCCGGACCCTGCATTCACTATATCTGGGGGGTCCGGGGAGACCAGATATAGTGAATGCAGGGTCCGGGGAGACCAGATATAGTGAATGCAGGGTCCGGGAGAGCGGATATAGTGAATGCAGGGTCCGGGGAGAGCGGATATAGTGAATGCAGGGTCCGGGGAGACCAGATATAGTGAATGCAGGGTCCGGGGAGACCAGGATATAGTGAATGCAGGGTCCGGGGAGACCAGATATAGTGAATGCAGGGTCCGGGGAGACCGGATATAGTGAATGCGGGGTCCGGGGAGACCGGATATAGTGAGTGCAGGGTCCGGGGGGAGACCAGATATAGTGAATGCAGGGTCCGGGGAGACCAGATATAGTGAATTCAGGGTCCTGGGCTTAGTAACACTTTAAAACGATTCTAAAGATTAATTTTTTTTTCCCCGTAATATAACAAACATGTCTATACTTACCTGCTGTGTGCAGTGGTTTTGCAGAGAGCAGCCCAGACCCTTCTCTTCTCGGTTCCCCTGCAGGCTCTCCTGTCTGTCAGGTGCCCCCACAGCAACCAATTTGCTATGGGGGCACCCGCTGTTTCGTGTGTTCATTCTCACACGGAGCCGCGGCTTAGAGCCACCCCCCATTGCCTGTCTGCCTGTGATTGACCTCACTATTCAAAGTGGACCTTCCCCCTAAATATACACGTATTACCTCTTCCTTTTCCCTCTCTCATATTTGGATATGTAATTATTTGATCATTTTACTAAACTTGTGCTTTTCTGTCTTTTTCACCTATGGAAGATTGACATCCCTTCCCCAATGTGCTGTAGGGCTTTGGGTACTGGCACAGTCCAGGGGTACATCTGCGCTCATGATAGGGGGGTCCCCATTTTGATTTGCCCTTTTTCAAAAATCACACAACTTGATGAGGCTTATCGTACCCATGTAACTCACCTCAGGAAAGCTTGACATGTTGATATGGAAAAGTCGAGGAGACTTCACGGTGATCTGTCCCAGATGACTTATTGGGAATCTGCCATCTTTTGTTGTGACAACAATATGATCAAAAGCACCTGGAAATAAAGTTCAATTTCACTTGTAGCAAGCAAGGCGCATACATACATGTAACAGCACATACGAATCTAGGAAAAGTGTAGGTCATGTAACCACTTCCGGTCCGGACACTTTCACCCCCTTCCTGACCAGGGCAATTTTCAGCTTTCAGCGCTATCACACTTTGAATGACAACTGCGCAGTCATGCAACACTGTACCCAAATTAATTTTTTACCATTTTTTTGAGACAGATAAAGCTTTATTTTGGTGGTATTTATTCACCGCTGGGATTTTTATTTTTTTTGCTATGTAAATGAAAATGTCCAAAAATTTTGAACAAAAGTGTTTTTTTTTAATAAAATTTTGCAAATAAATAATATTTCATCATAAATCTTTGTCAAAATTTATTCCGTTATTTTTTTAGTAAAAAAAACAAAAAAAAACAAAATTAGCTTATAACCAAAAATTATAAATTTTTAAACATTTTTTTTTACATTTTTATTTTTTTTTTTTTACATACTGTCACCCTAGCAGTACAGTGTCACCATGGTGACACTGTACTACTTGTGGGGGGTGATGAAGATTTTTTTTTTTTTTTTTTTTTACACTGATTGCTTTTACACCCATATAGGATGTAAAAACAATCATTTCTCTTTCTCTCTGTCTGTATTCTTGCACTCATTGAGAAGTACTGAGTGAGCTGTGATTGGTCACAGCTTGTCACATGGTACAAGGCTGTTGTGAATAGCCTTGTACCATGTGACCTCTGTGATCATTCACAGATTTCACACGTAGTAAGCAATGATGTCACAAGTGACATCTTGCTTACTACTTTGCATGTGATCACTGATTGGCCAATCAGTGATCACATGATCGGGACCTCGTACAGAGGTCCCGTCCGATGATCGGTGTTTCACTGTGTCCGGAGGACACAGCGGGCACCGGATCGCAGTGCTGCGCGCTCCCAGGGAGCGCGCACAAGCAGGGTGCGGGGAGGCCGTTCATAAACGGCCACCCGACCCTGCACTGCCACCGTCCGGCCGTTTATATGCAACGGCCGGTCGGGAAGTGGTTGAAGCAGAACGTCACCCTCTCAATCAGCATGGACTATATGTAATCCTTATGCTGCTAGCAATAGTAAATACACTGATCAAAAAATAAAGGAACACTTTTTAATCAGAGTCTAGCATCAAGTCAATGAAACCCCTGGGATATTGATCTGGTCAGGTAAGTCGCAGAGGGGGGTGGTAATCAGTTTCAGCTGCTTTGGTATTCATGAAATTAACAAGAGGTGAACTAGATGGGCAACACTGAGACAACCCCAAAAACAGGAATGGTTTATCAGGTGGAGGCCACTGACTTTTTTTCCTACTCATCTTTTCTGAGTTTTTCTCAAGTTTTGCATTTGGCTAGGGTCAGTGTCACTACTGGTAGCATGAGGCCATACCTGGACCCTACAGAGGTTACACAGGCAGTCCAACTCCTCCAGGAGGGCACATCAATACGTGCCATTGCCAGAAGGTTTGCTGTGTCTCCCAGCACAGTCTCAAAAGCATGAGGAAATTCCAGGAGACAGGCAGTTACTCTAGGAGAGCTGGACAGGGCGTAGAAGGTCCTTAACCCATCAGCAGGACCGGTATCTGCTCCTTTGTGCAAGGAGGAACAGGATGAGCACTGCCAGAGCCCTACAAAATGACCTCCAGCAGGCCACTGGTGGGAATGTCTCTGACCAAACAATCAGAAACAGACTTCATGAGGGTGGCCTGAGGGCCCGACGTCCTCTAGTGGGCCCTGGGCTCACTGCCCGGCTCCATAGAGCTGGATTGGCATTTGCCATTGAACCCCAGAATTGGCAGGTCCACCACTGGCACCTGTGCTTTTCACAGATGAGAGCAGGTTCACCCTGAGCACATGTGACAGACATGTGAAAGGGTCTGGAGAAGCCGTGGAGAATGTTCTGCTGCCTGTAACATGGTTCAGCATGATGGTGGTGGGTCAGTGATGGTCCTGGGAGGCATATCCATGGAGGGACGCACAGACCTCTACAGGCTAGACAATGGCACCTTAACTGCCATTAGGTATCGGGATGAAATCCTTGGATCCATTGTCAGACCCTACACAGTGGGTGCAGTGGATCCTGGGTTCCTCCTGGTGCAGTGGGTCCTGGGTTCCTCCTGGTGCAGTGGATCCTGGGTTCCTCCTGGTGCAGTGGGTCCTGGGTTCCTCCTGGTACAGGACAATGCCCGGCCTCATGTGGGGAGAGTATGCAGGCAGTTCCTGGAGGATGAAGGAATTGATACCATTGAATGGCCCTCACGCTCGCCGGACCTAAATCCAATAGAACACCTCTGGGATATCATGTTTTGATCCATCCAACAACGCCAGGTTGACCTCAGACTGTCCAGGCAAAAATCGCTCCAGATCTCGCAGAGATGCTGGAGGTAGAAAACGAACACAAACTCTGTTCTCCAAAATTGACCGTAGTGGCTCTGATATTAAGGTCCGTCGGCTGCGGCACCCAGGGAAGGTGCGAGACTTTGTCTACATGCTCCTCAAACCACCAGCTGTGTGAATTGGAGTATTATCGTCATGATAAATGGCGCTGTCCTCGGGAAACAATGTCTGCACCATGGGGTGAACATGGTCGGCCAAAATTTGTACATAATCGCTGGCAGTGAACCTATCTTTCAGGCTGATGATGGGGCCTGCAAGAACACCAAGATATGGCTCCCCAAACCATGATTGCGCCACCACCATGCTTTTCAGTTGGCACAAGACAGTCCTGGTCATAAGCTTGGGATGGTGTTCATCACACGTAAACACGTCCGGTGGTTTGGAACAGTGTGATGCTCAATTCCTGGGACCATATTACAGTCTTCCATTGATCGATAGACCACCATTTATGGGCGTTTGGCAATTGCAGTTCGCCCATGAATGTTTTGCTTATGGAGTTCCCTCCGCTGAGGGGGCTTTGGAAGACTGAGATTGAGCTCTGCAGTCATGTTTGCAGCAGTTGTTTTCTTATTCCAGGTCACAATCCTGCGCAATGTCCTTTTGACTCTTTCGGTCAGTTTACCATGAGGACCGTGCTGATGCTCATCAGATGACGTTTTCCCAGAAACTGTATATGCAGGGGGGGCATTTGCCTAGGGGGGGCATTTGCCTAGGGCGGCACTTTTAAGGGGGGAAGCAGCATTTTTCAGGGGGGCAGCGTCACCCCCAAAGGAAGGGATGGAAGAAGGGACACATGCACCAGGTGGGATCTGAGAGAGGCTGTGTGCTGCTTGATGGTGTATGCAGAGCCTGACTCATTCCCGGGATGTCCGGAGCCGTGCAGGTGAGTGTCTTCTCTCTCGCAGGGTCGGGGGCATTGCCAGTGTATGGGAGGCGGTGGTAGAGGAAGGCTCTCTCAGGCGTGGGGGAGGAAGGGGGGTTGTTGGTCGGTGTCAGGGTCTCTCCTTGGGGGGGGGCAATTTTTGTGTTGCCCAAGGCAGCCCGACACCTAAATACACCACTGTGTATACGCCGCCATAAAATTTGATACTGGACCTGGCGACACGGCAAATAAATTGGCAACTTCAGTCACAGAGGGGTCAGCTAAGCGGCTCCAACAATTTGCCCTCTTTGAAGGTCAGTAAGCTCTGACATGACTCCGTATTAATAGCAACTCATGCAGTGAATGAGGAACATGAGGCTTCCTACCTGCTAGCTAGGTGTCTCATCGCACAGTGGAAGCAAAAGTGTGTTACGTCACTTGCGCTTTCAACACGAAACATGCCGTCACTTTCACGCCTGCAAATCATGGAGAGTTTTCATATTTTTGTCCGACGTCTGTAGTTGTATCACATTTGTATGCGGCCAGAGAATGCGCAAACTACCTGCATCCAAGGGACAAGCCAGGGTCCTAATCAGGTGTAACCACTCCGTGGTGGCGATTTGTATAGAAACAGATTACATTTTGGCTCTAAAATGTACAAAATGTGACTCTTCTAGTCACTTCTGAACATTTCTAGAGCGGGGGTGCTGGTTAGGGTTTGGGGGGGTGCAGAAGAGGAGGTAAAGAGTCTCAAGTCTCATTGTAAGAAACACAAATCTATTCCGCTTCATGCTTGCTGATCTGTAAAATTGAAAAGCAGACAACTGGCTTTTTCCTACAGTATTCATTTTTATTAAGCCGTTCACAAGGGGCGGAGCTTCTACAAAAAGGGTATCGCCATTCACACGTGCTTAGGGCAGAATGGTGCCGAGACCAACAATAGCTGGAGCCGGCGATGTGCCCCATCATGTCGTTACATCAGCAAAAAAAAAAAAAATCGCTTACCCGGAGAGGTTCTGATATTCAGGTTTTTGGTAAAGTCTTCTTTCAGGTTGTCCAGAACGGTTCTCATGTCGCACTCCACATCTTTCAGATCGATAATTTCTTCAACTAAAGAAGCGTTGATGCTTATTTTTGCTGAAGCGTGTTTCTGGCTTTTGCCTAAATGAAAAAAAAAAAAAAGAAAAAAGAAAAAAAAAAAAGCTTTTAGAACACCGAGGTCTTTACGTATCTTCCTGCCAAAGGTGACAACCGTATTCACACTGGAGATAGGAGACCAGTATAGGAAAAGAATGGGTACCTTTTGGTGGTTATACCGGAGGTGATAACTGCAGCTGCGGGCATCACCCCGTACTGTTTTCTTTTTATTATATCTTTTATTAAATTTTTTATACAAATTTTATATTTTTTATTAAATTTTCTTTATAAAATACACTGCAAAACAACCATATAATTCTTATTACATCATACACATTATCCCCATTCCCTCCCACTACCCCCCTCTCCCAGTGCAAAAATCCCTGTCCAATTTCATCTTACCATCTTTTTCCCCTCCTATTAGTCTAACCATGTACAGTTGTGTTGAAAATAGCAGTCAGACATCACTAACCGTTTAAATCCTCTATGATTGGCTGTTACAGCGATCACATAATCAGGACCCTCTGCTACTGGCTCCTGATCCTCACTGTGTTGGGGACTGCGTGGTCAGCATGTGATAATATATGTGGCAGCAAGGGAGAGGCCCCACTGTCGTACTACCACATACAGTTGTGTTCAAAATAATAGCAGTCAGACATCACTAACCGGATCAATCACTGTTTTTGGTAGAAATGATATTTCTACATGGCAAATAATTTCCTAGCAGGTGTAGTAGAGTAATAGAAATCCAACAGACCCAACAGTCATGACATGCATGCTGCTGATTCTGTGTAATTGAATCACTCATTGAAAGGGGCGTGTTCAAAATAATAGCAGTGTGGAGTTCTATTAGTGAGGTCATTCATTCTTTGAAAAACAGGTGGCAATTATTGCCCTTATTTAAGGAAGGAAGGCAGCAAATGTTGTACATGCTGGTTACAGTGCATTTCTCTCTGAAATTCTGAGGAAAATGGGTCGTTCCAGACATTGTTCAGAAGAACAGCGTACCTTGATTAAAAAGTTGATTGGAGAGAGGGGAAAACATATAAAGAAGTGCAGAAAATGATCGGCTGCTCAGCTAAAATGATCGCAAATGCTTTAAAATGGCAACCAAAACCTGAAAGACGTGGAAGAAAGCGAAAAACTACCATTGGATTGGATAGAAGAATAGCCAAAATGGCGCGGACTCAGCCAACAATCAGCTCCAGGAAGATGAAAGAAGGTGTGACGTTCCCTGTGAGGACTGTTACAATTAGAAGACGCCTATGTGAAGCCAAGCTATCTGCAAGAAGTCCCCGCAAAGTCCCACTGTTGGAAAAAAGACGTGTGCTGAAGAGGTTACAATCTGCCAAAGAGCACATTGACTGGCCTAAAGAGAAATGGCGCAACATTATGTGGACTGATGGAAGTAAGATTGTTCTTTTTGGGTCTAGTGGGCGGAGACAGTTTGTCAGACGACCCCCAAACACTGAATTCAGGCCACAGTACACTGTGAAGACCGTGAAGCATGGTGGTGCAAGCATCATGATATGGGGATGGGGATGTTTCTCATACTACGGTGTTGGGCCTATTTATCGCATACCAGGGATCATGGATCAGTTTGAATACATCAGAATACTTGAAGAGGTCATGCTGCCTTATGCTGAAGAGGAAATGCCCTTGAAATGGGTGTTCCAACAAGACAACGACCCCAAACACACCAGTAAACATGCAACATCTTGGTTCCAGACCAACAAGATGGACGTTATGGAGTGGCCAGTCCAATCCCCGGATCTTAATCCAATAGAAAACTTGTGGGGTGACATCAAAAATGCCGTTTCTGAGGCAAAACCAAGAAATAGAGAAGAACTGTGGAATGTCGTCCAATCATCCTGGGCTGGAATACCTGATCACAGGGGCCAGAAGTTGGGCGACTCCATGCAACACAGATGTACAGCAGTTCTCAGAAACAGTGCGACTACAACCAAATATTCATGAAGTCATTCAAAGGAAAGCAAAATCTTCAAACATTTCTCAGTTTATATAGTGAATGTTTGAGTTTGTAAAGAAGAATACAAACACTGCGATTTTTTTGAACCGTCTAATATTCACTTTTCTTCCATTTGTTTAGAGGAACAACACAAATTTGATGTATTTTTCTTCATGTTTTGATTTGGAATAGAATGTGTCGTGTTCCCAATGCATTTGTGTGGATGGAAATAAAAGCTATTAGAAGGATTTTCAGCTTTATTCACTTTTTTCAACACACTGCTATTATTTTGAACACAACTGTATATAAATCGATTTAACCATTTAAATTCTCTGACTCTGTTACCGGGGAGGGGGACTTTTCATTCTTAAATATTTTTCTGATGTTTTAAACTCATACCATCTACCCCACATATTTCTAAATGTTCCCATTTCATCTTTCTCCATGTAACAAAGTTCCTCCATCCCCTTAACATATTCAGTTCTGTCTATCCAATCCCTCATTGTTGGAGGGTCCTGGGCCTGCCAAAACGCGGGGATTAAACCTTTTGCCGCGCTAATCAGATGGTATAAGAAGCTATTTTTAGATTGTTTTATTGACATCTCTGTTTTTATAGAAAAGACACACCCACAGATCAATCTGAATAGATGTCCCCCAAATCTCCCGTATATGGTGAATTATCTTTTGCCAAAATACCTGAATTTTTGGGCACTCCCACCACATGTGAGCCATTGTCCCTATTGCCCCACATCCTCTCCAACATAAAAGTGATAGCTCTTCACGCTGTTTATGTGCCACACTCGGTGTGCAATACCATCTAGACAAACATTTAGAATTCATAGTAACTATATTCGTGTTCATCACCCCGTGCATTAACTTCACCCCTTGGCACCGGCGCCTCCTGGCCCTTTAAGGGTCTCAGAAGCCAGGAGGCGGGGTTTAACCACTTGAGCTCCAGAGGATTTACCCCCCTTAATGACCAGTCCTCTTTTTGCTACTCGGCGCTGCACTAATTCAACTGATAATTGCGCGGTCATGCAATGCTGCACCCAAACGAAATTTACGTCCTTTTTTTCACACAAATAGAGCTTTCTTTCAGTGTAATTTGATCACCTGTGCTCTTTTTATTTTTCACGCTATAAACAAAAAAAAGGCCAAAAATTTTGAAGAAAAACAATATTTTTTACTTTCAGCTATAAAAAAATATAGTAAACTCAAAGTTGGTTATAAATTTAGGCCAAAATGTATTCTGCTCCATGTTTTTGGTAAAAAAAATCCCAATAAGTGTATATTGATTGCTTTGTGTGGAAGTTATAGCGTCTACAAACTATGGTATAAATACTGCAATTTACACCATTTTTTTTCTGCTATACAGCGCTGCGCTAGTTTAACGGACAATTGCGCGGTCATGCAATACGGTACATAAATTAAATTTACATCCTTTTTTTCCCCACAAATTGAGCTTTCTTTTGGTGGTATTTGATTGCCTGTGCGGTTTTTATTTTTTGCGCTATAAAAAAAAAAAGCCTGACAATTTTGAGGAAAAAAAAACAATATTTTGGACTTTTTGCTATAAAACATGTCCAGTAAAAAAAAAAACTGCAAAAATAAAATTTAGTCATAAATTTCTGCCAAGATGCATTCTGCAAAAAAAAAAAACCCAATACGTGTAAATTAAGTTTACGTGAAAGCTATAGCGTTTACAAATGGCGGGAAAGATACTGGGATTTTTAGTTTTTTTTTATACTAATAATGGCGGCGATCAGCGAATTATGGCGGCGATCAGGGACTTATGGCAGCGACCAGCAACTTATGGCGGGACTGCGGCGGACATTCTGACATTGGGGGGTACTGACTTAGGGTCACTGACATCCCCAAAAACACTAATACAGTGATCAGTGCAAAAAAAAAAAACACTGACACTGTACTAATGGCAATGGGGAGGAAGGGGTTAACTTTATTTTGCAGGGAAGGGTTATAGGAGTGAGGGGGAGTGTTTTACTAGGGGGCGGGGTGTGTACTGGGCGGGACAAGGCTGATCGAGAAAGAGCAACTCTTCTTTCTCGATCAGCTCATCCTCGAGCTGACAGGGGAAGTGACAGACAGCACAGCTACTGCAGCTGTGCTCTCTGTCACTGATTGCCGCTGATCGCCGGGACATAGCCGCTAAGGAGCGGCTGTGACCCGGCGACTGACATCTGCGGCGGTGATCGGCGGGACAAATAGGGCGGGCGCGCGCCCCCTATTTGTTTACAAAACACACGTTTTAAAACGTGGTTTTGCCTGTGAGTGCCGCCCTGCCGCTGTATATGTACAGTGGCTGGGCGGCATGCGGTTAAGGGTCGTGTCACCGCCGTGATTCGCCGTCACATGATCGGGAAAGGTCCCGATCGAAAAAGGATATCGGGACCTTTCCGTGAGTACCGGACATGTGTGCTGGAAGTGCGCAGGGCGCGTGCTCTCAGCACATATGTTTTTCTTAATTGCACGCAAATGTGCGGCCACTCGGCGTCAAGGCCCAGACGCCGGGAGGCCGCACATTTGTGTGCAGCTGGCGCCAAGAGGTTAACTCAGGGTGGGCAAACTTTTTGACTTGAGGGCCGCAATGGGTTCACATATTGGACCCGGGGGCCGGACCAAGAGTAGATGAATGATGTGTATGTGTCATCCATAGTAAGCATAGTAATTAATCCCCCATATAGTAATTCATCCCCCATAGTAATTCATCCCCCATATAGTAATTCATCCCCCATAGTAATTCATCCCCCATAATTCATCCCCCCTATAGTAATTAGTAATTCATCCCCCCTATAGTAATTCATCCCCCATATTGTGTCAATTCACTTACCTTTGCTCCGCGCGTTCCTCTCGCCGTGTTCCCGCGCCGTTCCGGTGTAGCATAAAAATCTGTCTCCTATGAGGATCTGTCCCCCTCGACGTATCTGCGCATGTGCCAGTTTCAGGCATTAGCAGCCGATCGGCGATCTCCGGCACATGCGCAGATACGTCGAGGGGGACAGATCCTCATAGGAGACAGATTTTCATGCTACACCGG